TACCAGGAAGATTAAATATTTAAAGAATCTAAAATGTTTTTTTTACCCTATGTGATTATTTTCTCTTCAATATGATGTTTGGTAAGTACCTAAGTGGGGGACTAAGTAGTCACAAGCCAAATTAATGTGACTTAGTGCGTGACTCTCTGCGGCGATCAATTACGTTGTTATATTACCGGCGTGTCACCACCCTTATTTATGCCGAGGGTATCGTAAGAGCCGTCTAAGGAAGTAAAGTACACGGCGACACTGCAATGAACGACAACACCACTGCAAAAAGAAGGAAAACTTGAAACCAAACCGTATGGCCAGCGCGTGGTATAGTAGGCCAAAACCTCCTTTATAAGGAGAGGTCTATGTCCAGCAATGGACTATTAAAGCCTGATGATGATGATGATGATTGATAATTTCATTTCATAAAAATAATATACAAATAATATTGATTTCTAAATTAGTAAGAACTAAGGGGTAGAGTCAATCTAGTTAAATTTTGCTCTCGTTAATAGGATTAATATTATAATTATTTCAATAAAAAGCAAGATATCAATATCAAAAATAACTTTATTATACGTGTGAAATATCAAATAATGTCGGCACGCGGCCTTTAATGGGTTAATATGTGTATTAACGGACAAAGAGCATAAAAAACCCTGCGCATGCGACTGGGTGACATTGATATCATAATCAAAATATGAAATAATATTTCTGGGGTCGATTGTACCCTTGAGAGGGATTACTAGACGCCCTACTATTACTTTGTTTGTTTTTAATGATATTTTATGAAATTGATAGTTTATTGTGTGATTCTATTAAGGGATTACAAATGTGTTTTATTAAATGTTTGTTTGTGGCGTGCAACTGGAGAGGCCTATGTACAGCAGTAAGAATGCGATAGGCTGATGATAAGATATACTTAGACCAGACCACATTTATACATTTTTAGCTATCTATAAATTTAAAAAAAAAACATGAAAACAGACCGTTTAAAATTATTTTAGATTTAAGTCTAATTCATAAGGAATATTTTCGTATCTTTTTATAAATTGGTTGTCTGTTTTGGCGGTAGTCTGTTTACTATTTGTAGTTGTCTACTTTAGAAAAAGATATAAAAAGATAACTTCAATAAATCTTTATATAATATACAAAATATCAACTATACAGTAAATATAACAAGCTCAATCTTTTGATAAACATTGGACAAATTAATTTCCATATTGATTAATAAAATGGTAAAAATATTTCGAACACATGACACACAACATCATCTAGTTTTCAAACTAAGCAGAGCTTTTACTATGAAAGCTAGATTGATTGATAGAAAGAATACTTATATACTCACTTTTTGTAAGTTTTATTTTTTTGTAAATATATACATACTATACATAGAAAACACCCAAACTTCAAAACAAATATTTTCACCGAGGCAGACAAATAATAAATAGTTTTCAGTAAAACATCTTTAAATTTTTAGACACTATACTCCTTTTTAATGTTAATAGAAAAGGATTTTTTGTACAAAAAACTCATTTATTTTACCGTCATTTGAAAAAACATAAACTCTAACTTAAACTCCTTCCAATATTGACAATGTGGAATAAATTCATCTCCAGTCGGACGTCACAACCAGACTCTAAGCATCTCTACTATTCCCAGCCCAACTCAGCACAATACTGTACCAATATTACCCCTTAGTACCCATTGTGCGGGAGTCCACACCAGGCCACTCGGTTCGCACGAAAATATCCCAAATAAAAAACGAACAGCGCCACGTGCCGACGCATTATACGATAACCGTCGGAGGCGGTATTAGAAATTTGGGGTAACCCTTACTTCAATGTTGAAAAGAATAAGCTAAATTCAACTTTGAACACGAGAGATAAAAAGCAAATTCAAATGGAGATGACTTAGTGGAACATGATGAAATTAACAAAGAATTTTAGATATTAATTTGAGGAGGTTATGGTTGAATTTTGTTTGAAGAGTCTGAAACATCTTTTTATACAGGGTTATCAGAAGATTTCTCTATTTATTGGTGGGAAAGGCCGCGTGTCAGATCTAACACCAGTTTTAATATTTTAGGTCGCGTGGCTGACACGCGTTGGGCTTTGGTAAAAAACTGGACGAACGTAATTCGCGTTTTATTGACGCATTCTTCTCGTTAAATGTTATTGCGATTCTTTTGTCGAAACGACGATTTTTTTGTTGGATTGTAATTTTTTTGCGGTGGAACGTCGGTCAGTTATGTCATTAGTCGCAAATTGACTGGTTCCGAACAGAGCTTAAATTTTGACTAGTTTTACAGATGAATGAGTTTAAAATCGTGATGATGTATTATTTTGGGGCAATCGTTCATTTTATAATAGAGAATATTCCAAAATCGACAATAGGTTTACTTTAAAGTTCGTGTCACTTAGTCGGGAAAGTCCTGGGGCATAAGATGCCATAAAACGAAACGGTTACACAACATTATTACGAAGCAGGGTAAATTCATGGTAAATAACTAATAATAATAACTCAAATAACAGCGTTAGTATTAGGAATCGTTATGCAGCGACTCTGGTCTTTTGAGCTACTGTAGTATGAGTCCCATATCATGTGGTATCCCTTATCCTAGAGCTATCCGTTTCCAGTACTCAAATTATTAACCTTTTAACTTCGTCCCATATGAAACGATTAGCTACATTCCGAAAGAAAGTTGGAGCTTAAGCAGGCGGACGGCCATAAAAAACAAGGTGCCCAAATAATCATGGGTAAAGGTCTCGAAAATCATGATCAATGATGAAAGACGTACATTTCAGACATTAATACTCACATTAACTCTTCAAACCATCTCTTTATACTCAATCTCTTTTTTTATGGTACAGGGGCAAACGATCAGACGTGTCATCTGATAATAAGTGACTATATTCTTATGAGACAGTTGACCCCAAAAGCATTAGTTATAATTTCTAAGCTAAAACAGTTACCTAGGCATTGAGTACTTTGCTGATGAAAAATGTGGTATTATAAAGTTTTTCTAATAATTAAATTAAATGTTAATATCACCGAAGTTTATCAGTCTGTAGGTACGAAAATATAAACAAAGTGATACGTTTAGCGACATCTATCGATATGAAAATGTAACGTAGCTTGTAAACATTTTTTAATTTGTTTTGTTCATTAATATAATCTAGTTATTGTTACTAGTAATGATTCTGTCTTCTACAGAAATTGAAAAATTAAAGTGTTGTTAAATAGCGAAATAAGTTAATTACATTTGTGTCCATTTAAGATGATGTCCAAAATTTTATTTATGGTTTTCAATCCGAGTATGTGTGTGAAAAATAGATTTAGGAGTAAGTCGTATTCGAGTGCCACTTATATCATGTAGGTATTGGTAACCTGAGCCATGATATATATATACATATAAACATTATATAATTAATAAATTAATATGCATGCATACGTACTTATCACATACATACATTGAGGCCTGTATCCCATCCAGGCAGGCAGAGGTGTAGTAAGATTAGTTTGCCAATTATAAATGATATCTAATACTAAGATAATAACCGATTTTACTGTTCCGTTTCTTTTGAACAATTATTTAGAAGGTGCATTTATCAATTACCAAAATATACTTGGTTTCTTTATTCAGTAAAATATAGAAACGCATTTTCTAATTATAATTTTCAATCAAAAATACTTCACACATCTCACAATTAGATTTTTCACAACTGCCAACGCCATCTATCGCCATTTCATCACACTGTCGAAGCTTCTCTAAAGGGCCTATTTCCGTCCACGTGCCGATAACAATGCGAGACGGCGATGATATTGAACCGATATAATACACGTCATCGCTATGTCATAATAACCAGGGATTATTTACATTGACGACAGGAAATTGCCTTTTTTAGCTCCAGTAAATTGCGTAGGAATTATTATTGTTACGATTTTTGTTGTTGGCTACATAAAAATATGGCTTTTTCGGCGATTTTCTTTAAAAGTGAGGTTTCGATAATGTCATTTTACGTAAAACCTATCAAACTTATTTCCTTACTATTTTATATCTAAATTTTTTATTTATTGCGACTTCATTCGAAGCGATATAAATATGATAGTAAGTTTTAGGTAATTAGGTTCAGTAGTGTCGGAGACAAGGGGAGGGTTATTACATTTTTTAAATAAATTAGCTATAAAAAACGTTAATCATGAAATAATTTTCTTTTCATTTGACATAATATTATGTTACACGGTAATATTTGAGTTTGTTTTTAAGTAGGATCTCAGAAGTGAATTTCTTATTAATTTATTTGGTTATGTCGCATGTCTTAGCAGTACTGCGTCGATACTGTTTATGTGCGCTCGCTTCGGCGTAAAAAAATAAATATTGCCACTACCTAGTCCAATCTTTAAAGCGACGTCAATATGGACGTAGTGCCAGTTTGACCTGAACTTTCCCAGGTGATCTGCAGGACAGTGATCGTCACAAAAGTAGAGAGAAAGGCAACGACAAAGACGTCACGTCATAGTTCTTCTTCTCTGTCTGTGTCCAAGAGATAGAGAGCAAAGTGGCTAAATCAGAAGGACAGACGCACGAGGGTCCTGATTTCGATAGGGAACACAGGGAACTCAATTTATTTGTCATTTTATTTGTCTACGGAAAACTATGCAGTGTTTTTCATATTTTGGGATACAGTGATAACTAACGTACCTACTTTTGTTAACATTCGGAAAAAAAAAATGCTAGGTGGACTATATGCTAATTAACTAAATAAAAGCACAGTTCTGCTTAAGTAAAAATATATTAAACATAACCTATTTTCACTTAATACTAAATCAAAACCTTCATTCTCGTTACATGCAAACAAACATAAAAAATAAATAGACTTGTATAAATAAGTAAAATAAACTTTTAAGCTACTTAAAAATTTTGAAATACCTAGGATGCCTACATTTTGTTGAACTGTAATTAGTCGCCTTTGAATCGGAAAGCTTGCGTAACTCTTTAAACTCGTTCAGTCTGAATCGGATAGGGGGATACTCTCCTGTAAATAGACATGTTTCATTATCATATAGACATATTATCCAACCTTTTATTTTTATTAAACAGAATATTCATTCTGACAAACACTTTTATACCATAATAATAATAACTTGTCACATCACACAGACGGCACTGATTCCAAACTAGGCAGAGCCTTTGCTATGGTAACCAGACTGCTGATGAACATACTTAAATAGTTCTAAATACATATGCATATTTTAGATAAATTTACACCCAAACACACAACAAATTATTGTTCTCGTCACATAATATTAGTCAATGGGTAGGAATCGAACCCACGACCTCCAGCTTAGCAGTCAGGGTCACTAACCACTTGACCAACAGGTCCTTCAACCATACCTTAATAAAACGGCCTTACAGAAAACCCATGTTAAGCAATTCTATCAGAGATTATAACCAAATAAGATTACCTAAGGCCCATGCCCCTTCTACCTAACTTTGAAGGTGGGCGGCCATAGGCCTCCTACTGATATATAGGGCTAGCTACTTAGCATCAGAAGACCTCCATTATAAAGCTACCTTAAAACATTTTTTTAACAAATACTTAAGAATTACGGTTACGAATTTTTCTGTAGTCTATTAGAGGATTGCCTACAGAGCTACCTTTCTTTTGTCTGTGCGGCAATCCCATCAGTAGCCGGGGAACCAGGTGTACCCTAGGAAGGTAATTCATAGAGCCCCGACGGACCTACAAATCTACCTAACAAAGTACGCTGACCTATAACAGTGGAACCGTTAGTAATAGTATTAGAGAATGTGTAATTTTTTTGGGGTAGGTAACACCTTTATTTTCTATAATGTAGGTAGCAAACAAGCATATGGCTTAGGAGGAATAGGATGAGTAACAAGTGCATAGCCAGCCCTTGAGGTGTTAGTGCACTTTTTTTAAAGGCTTGGGTTACTTATAGTTTTGTAAAAAATATCTTGAAATAGTACGTACCTCAAATTCCCCGATAAATATATCAGAGTCATCAGAAGGCGGTGCTTGATTGATGTTCTCTACCGCAGTTATTTGAGGACCTGAAAAACATATACTTGTTGAGACAAAATTGTTCTATGTCTTTGCATATGATATTAATTAACTATTAATATTGGTTTTCACACAAAGTCCAGCCAAATATTACACTATATGACTTGAAAGTTTTCGGTAAACGGCTTTCTTTAATAGATGTTTAGAGAATTAAATCAAAAGATCTTATTGTTCTTTTAAAATAATTCATATTTAAAAGGACAGGAATAATCATGTAAAGGGGTGGATAGAATTAAATTCCTTCCTTTCCCAGTTGGTACAAAGACCATTTACTGTTATCAGTTCAGAAGTTCCAATTCAATATTCCGAGGCCGAAAACCAATAGTGATGACGTCAGTCTCGTGTCTATAAAGAATTTTCTCTCTTCAAATTAATCGTATGTTAATAACTGCATCACGTGATATCTTGCGTAAAGTTAATAAAAGGTAAGCTGTTATAGTTGGCTTTCGTATTTTGCTTCTGTTGCTAGACTTTTAGAATTAGTAATCAATTACGTACATAACATACATAACATACATAAAATAACAATAAATAACACACAAGTACGTTCAGTAGTTTTATACTTTTTTTTAGTAATGGACATCTGTCACACAACGCCATCTAGTTTCAAACTATTTTTTTTTTATTATAACTCCTGCATTAGGAATAAATCCCGTGTCGCGGGGGACTTTACAAACATACATGAAACGGGCACAAAGAACACCCAGACTCAGAACAACAATCCGTGGATCACACAGTGTAGTCCCATGTGGGGATCGGACCCACAACACTCAGCGTAGCAGTAAGCGACGTGGCGACCGCTTAAACCACTACGCCATCGCCAGTCGTTTATCAATGGTTTGGTAGTAATGTGTTTATAAGTGACTCCTTATTGTTTTAGGTCAAGTGTAGTAAATTGCAATAAATAAAACCTTGGAAATCAGAGTGCTACGTAAGAGAAGAATATAAGTACAGAGTAAACACCACCACACCACCACAGAGCCACCATCACCCTTTGAGTTCCCCTTTCCCCCACAGAATAAGGAGGAGGAGAGAGTTTCGGGTCCGGTTTGGTTCATTGTCTATAACTCATCATCGGTCATATTTTATTTATTAAAATTGATGACGATTGATGATGATTGATTTTGCTATAGTATTATGTACCTACAACAACTGTACTAATTAAAACGATAAAGATTACTTTACTCTAAAAAAATAAATTCGACGAATGGTTTATTTTTGCGGGTCTGTTTAGTGACCCTGACTGCTAAACCAGAGGTAATGGGGTCCATTCCCACCCAGAATAACTATTGTGTGATGAGCACGGTCATTTGTTCTGTATCTGGGTGTAATTTACCTATAATAGGTATGTATTGAAAAATATGTAAGTATGTTTATCAGCAGCAGTCTGCTTACCATATTAAGTACCCTAGTATGCCTAGTTAAGGATCAGACTACCGTGTATGACTTGTGTGAAGTTAAAAAAAATAAAAGAATATCTGAGTAGTTTTCTGTAACATGTTTAATCATGATTTTGATGATTTATGTTTAACAGATATTACCTAGTGGCATGCAATCCATGGGTTCAAACAGGTCCATCGAGATGAGGTCGAGGGGAGGTGAGGGCGGCGGGGGTGGCAGCGTGCACGTCGAGGATATCCTTGGACCTGGTACAGAGAGAACCGAAATTACTGCATAACATCTATAGAATTTGGACTGATACCCTTATTTTCCAAACTAGGTTGGGGTCCGCTTTAAGTCTACTGCGATACGGCTAACTTCGATTTTTTTACACTGAGCAACTTCTATCAGACCTCCTCAACCCAAGTATTGGGCGATACCAAAGTTCTGTGGTAAGACTATTGTCGGAATTTTTAGGGCTCCAAATACCCATAACGATTGCCACAGATGTTCATATGGCAACTGGGACCGACGGCGTAAGGTGCTCTCCGAGGCACCGAAATTCTGACTGATATTTATTTATTAATTTACACTTTATGCATAAAATGTGACAAAGGCGGACTTAATGCCGTAGGCATTTTCTCCCAGTCAACCATAGGATGATGCAGAGCTAAAGCATGGTAGATGCACAAAAGAAATTAACTATGTGATTTTATGAAAAATATAGCATATATAGGATATCATATGCCCAGAGTACTTATATTAATTACATTAGAATATTTTTGAATAAATAATACATATACAATAAGTGATAATAATACTAACACACACAATACATAAGTATTTATATATACATATGCACCTATCACATCATCATCACATCAACAGACTTTAATAGTCCACTGCTGGTCATAAGCCTCTCCTTAGAAAGCGAGGTTTTGGCCTACTATACCACGCTGGGCAGACGGGTCGGTATAGGATTTATAGGTATGGTATATGCACCTATACATACATATAATTATACACCTATACATACATATAGATATAACTATGTATTTATCGCCTTACCATGAAACTTTCATCTTAAGGTAAGCTTTCATAATAACGAGAAGTGAAGGCAAGAGAATACACAGAATACAAAAAGAAAACTACTAAATCTGTACTGATGGCACAATGGGCAATGTGTTCGCGGTGCCGAGGGTAGAGGGTTCGATTCAACATAGGGGAGAAAAATTTAGTAAGCTTAATATAATTGCCACTGGTCTAAGTGTCCTTTCTTGTGCGTTACTTAACTTAAAAAAATATAAAAATATGTATCTTGAATTCGTCTTTTTTTAATTGTGTTTAACACGTAATTATATTCCACTAACTAGAAACAGATTTGACTTTAAATGTTTATAAAGAGATCTAAATTAACAGCAGGTTTAGAAAATAAAAAATAAAACAGATTTAATTTGGCGCAATAGAGGAGCTGGTAGGCAACATTAACGTAAAATAGATATTTAATTAAAGCCGGAAAGATATTGGTAATTATCTAACAATAGAATTAGGGCCATTACCTACGTTATTTAAAATAAGATCCATTGTAACAGGGACAAGTTACATAAATAAACAAAAGAAACTTTCTGTAAGGGCTTTGTTGAATACTATCAGTTTTATTTACCAGAACGCAATCCATCACCGAAGGTGTTGCAAGTATCCAGCTGCTGGGATTCTGGACGCAGCAAAGAATTTGATGTCCCAGGGTGGGGCTCCATCCCTCTTGTAGTACAAGGTTCTACATTCACCTCACCTACTAGAAAATTAACTTATAAAATAATATATTTCGTGCTATTGTGTAATAGGGTCATCTATATCTATATCTATACAAATGAATAAAATTGGAGTGTCTGTTTGCAATATTAAAATAACCGCTTTTAACTAAATGCATATGTATGTTTACACGGTACATATGCCAAAATAACATTTTTTACAAATTTTGTCTGTGTCTGTCTGTTTGTTCCGGGTAAACTCTGGAACGGCTGGACCGATTTCGACGGGACTTTCACTGGCAGATAGCTGATGATGTAAGGAGTAACTTAGGCTACTTTTTTTAGACTAGCTTCGTCCCGCGGCGTTGCCCGCGGTTATAACAACAAACGAGGGTAACACCGCGGGTCTCAGCTAGTTTTAAATAATCTGCTAGATGTAGGGGGAAGTCCCCTAGTGCCGGACACATAAGGTTTTCAGGCAATAAAATTAAAACTACATCGAGAAATATGTATTTATTTATGAATTACTTAAATTAACAAAACATAAAATCAAAATTAAATAACAAAAATACAAATTCTGCGTAAACATAGTTTAGGAGTGTTAAATAAGTTTTGGTAAAAAAATAAAGGACTTTGACATTGGCACCTAGTGCCGGACGGGTTAATCTTCAAACCCCAAGCGCCGGACATTCTAAAACTTTTAGCATCTATCACATATGTAGGCATCTCCACATTCTGGAACGTCTGCACATGCTTCATGAGCCCATTATTGGCATCTGGAGCATTGTATCCAGTCCTCGTCGTGGTCTTCTAAACACACTACACAAGTCGTTTTTTCTATATTTGATACTTCAGTTAACGGCTCCTTTTTGTTGTCGTTATTGCCACGTTTGGTTTGTTTACTCATGGGGAATCTTCATAGCTTCAGCCAAGTCGTAAGCTAAATTCAAAAACTCGTTTTTCATCAGGGGCAGACATCTATTAGACAAATCTCTTATGTGGTCCACTAAACTTGCTTATACTCGGGTGAGAAGGTTTTTTTGAATCTACCAACTTTTGTTTGCAACGTGACTTCTTTTCCACTGCTCAATGTCATTATTTTATCATGTAGAGTACTTTTTGGAACATTGTAACGTGACGAAGCTGCCCTCAAACTCATTTTTTTGGACAAAATCTTGTTCATCGCAGTTTTTAAATTTTGCTGATCCCATTTTCCTTTTTTTTACTCTCTTGCATTTTCAAATATCTCTCTCCTTCTATCCTGTAAAACAACAAACAATCATCATTACAATAAGTACAAATGCTTCATAAAAAGCTAACCTATAAACTGTCCGGTGGTAAGGGACACCTTTGTGTCCGAAAGCAGGGGACAGGAAACGTCCAAAATTACGTATTTCATACTAAAACTGTTTAGGTATTTAATAAAAACTTTCACAATATAATAATTATAGTGAAACACTGTCTTTATTAACAAATAACAAAAACAATTAAGGATAAAACCATAGCAGTAATACTTACTTGAAATTTACGTGACGCAACGCTTTCCCACCAAAAACAGCAATTCACGGCTTCCACCACGACTGTGCGCCTCACTGGCAAATCGCGTTGCGTGATCCTGTCTCGCTACGTTCCCCCGCACCCCTTTCACCGATTTATAAATAGATCGCGTTGACGTTTGTCAAAATAGTATGAGTGTCCGGCGCTAGGTGCCGTCCGGCGCTACGGGACTTCCCCCTACTGAGACAATAGAAAAGAGGGATTTACCGTCAGCTGACAACGCGGTGTGATAAGCGTGGTGTGGTTCTTCAACGGTCAAGTGCAGTCTACCTCCAGGTTGGATCCTGGGAACTACTGTCGCAACTATCGGAACTCTGATCTGAACTGCTCCATTGGGCTCCATACTTGGTTCTGCTGTTCCTACCTAACGACAAAAATAAGTTGTGTTGATTGGTCTTTTAGTCTATTAGTTAGGTCGTGGATTCGATTCCCACCTAGGACAAACAATTGTGTGATCAGCTGCACGATTATTTGTTGTGACTGGGTGTAGTTTTTCTATTATATTTTTATTGGGACTAATCCCACCCACACGCCCACCGCTGTAACTCCTGTACACCAGGATCCACAGCAGTGATCTACGAACACACTGAGTTATGACACTCGGGAAGTCCCAGAAAGAAATTAAACTGTCTTGGAACCCGCAACGAAATTAATCAGAAGAAAATTGGAGGAGTTGGAAATACAGTAAATCCACTTCCCTCCTTAGCAAAGCGGGAGACAAAATGAAGTAAAATGGGCATACACCCTTTTAAACAGGGAAGCACCAGGGCCACAAATATTACGGGTCCTACGTGAGCTATGTTTGATTTCTATAATATGTATGGCAGAATCGCCTAAACGCACGGAAATTCACCCTAGTTGACACAAGATCCCCATAGTATACCGCCCCAGATGTCACCTGCAAGCTATTCAGCATTATATTACGTTCATTATACCAAAGACTACATTCCCAGAGGATACGATGAGCAGACTGTTCATAGTGAGAGCATTGAGCATTGACACAATGGTGACTCGACTAATTTAAATGAATAAAGCTTGCTCTTAAAGTTACCATGACCCGTAAGAAATTGAGCGACACAGTGATCAACCTCATCACATTTCTATTATATGTAATATTTAGAAATAGACAGGGTTACTGGTTAAGTCGACCTATATACTTTACGGGGTTATAGTGGCCGTTATTACTAATAAATTCCCAAACGTTACCAATTTCAAGATATACACAATTTTTTCTTAACTTCTATCCTCAATTTTATTACTGTTTTTGTGTCGTTGATACATTGTTTTATAATTTTTATTACCAAAATAGTAGTTAGCAAACTGGGCCGCACAAGATGGTTGATAATAGCAAAATAAAATAAATTAAAAAATAATCAGTCACTCTGTATACATATATGTTTATCAGCAGCCTGGTTAATATAGTCCAGGCTCTGCCTAGTTTGAGTTCAGACTGCCGTGTGTGAAATGTGTTGTTATATTGGGCACGCGCTGCTTAACACCAAAAATAGCTATAGACGTCAGAAGAACTCTGACTTTGCTCTCAAACTCCGAGTCTACAGAGACAGAGACAAGTCTTTATTTATAGACTCATTGCATAACAGATTCTCTTTGCTACCGACTAGAAATTCAAGTAACAACTTGATTTAGAGAGTATTTAAGTAGTCGCTTTAAAAATATACCTACTGTTTAAATATGTGACTAATCGTACGATTGACTAATGAATTAGAAAATTTGTTTGTTTGTTACGCTTTCATGGCTAAACTACTTAACCAAACTACTACTTAACTATGCAAATTATTTTCAAGTGCACATAAAGTGGCATAAATACTTTCTACCTACTACTCTACTACTCTCTACATAAATAAAATCAAAATTATCGCGAGTATATCTATGATCAAAAGATAGTACTGTAAATCTAATTTAAAGAAGTTGTATTAAAAATACCGGCGAGGCTGAATCTTCGGGATCATTCTTCATGACAATTTTGCCTCCAGCTCTAAAATCTTCAGCCGTTACTGGAACCAGCATCTTAATCGAGATAAAAATATGTATATAAAAATATTTATAGAAATATATTAAAAATAATTCAAGATATTAAAATTTTACTGTTTGTAGAAGTAAAAACGACACAACGACTAATTTATTTGTAAAATATTTACTTTTAGCATTTGGTTTAGTAAACACCTTAGCATTACCAGTTTAACAAAATTAATAAATATTAAATAGTCTGCGCAGTTTTTGTGGTAGTATTTCATTAAAAGCTTAAAAACAAACCTGTTTTCCACCAGGCAGCTTCGTATCAACTACTTTCACCAGAACCGGTGCTCCAACATCCGGCTTCAGTAAAGCAAAAGGGGTTTGTCTCATCGCCAAAGCCACACCCATATGGAACGTCTTGATAGGATCAACGATAACCCCACTGCTCATAGAAACCCATGGCCCGTCGTTCCAGATGTCTCCAGATTCATAATGCTTGGGCACTTCCCAGGGCTCTGGTTTTGGAGCCCAGTTGGCGGGTGGACCTTCCACCGATGGTAGGTATGGCCCAACTGATGAAGATACTTCGCAATGCTCCACTTGAGGTCTGATAGAAAAATGTTATTTATATTAGAACTAAATAAAAAGTAATAAAATGTCTTGGTGTACTGATTTAACAACTTAAATGTGTTAGTAATGAGTACAGTAAAATACTCGTATATCCAATTTAATTACTGCACTCGATAAATACTTCGTAATTTTATAATTATGTTCTGATGAATGTAATTCTTAATGAGAGTAAAGTTTCTGAAACCCGAAGTTGTATTTATTATTTACTGAACGTACTCCATATGTTGACCATCCAAACACGACAGTGACAGCGCAACAAAACATGAATAAATGTAGATATTAGTCTCGAGTAAAGTGTCTAGTAAACGCATCAAAACCGTTGCGTGATTAAGGAAGAGTTAGTAAATACATATAGATAAAGTCGGTTTAATCGATTTTGTTTTATACAATGTTATAATATATCTTCGTCTTCTGCAAACCTGCTACTGGCATATTCTGTAAAGGATTTGACTGTGTGGTCTTTCGTAAGACTTCACTGACAGTGAACTAGCTTTTTTATGGTGTAAGGGGGTAAACGAGCAGACGAATCAACTGATGGCAAATAACTAACGTCGTCTCTGGACACCTGCAACCTCGCACCAGAATCACTAGGAAGACAGCGCGTTGGGGTTATGTAACCTTACTGATTTCGTGGAAAGCATCGAAAGAACTGCTTAACGTTGGTTTTTTGTGAGACCATGGTATAACTCCGGTCGAGTTGAGTTTACGTTAGTTACTATAATTAACCAAGCCACACAACACTAACCTGGTTGAATCTGGTTGAGTTTCGGTAGCTGTTCGTGTTGTTTTCCTACCCCTGGTCGCTATTGGGCTCGCGTCGTTAGGGTGTGCCTGTCCAACACACTGATGTTGTAAACATTCTTTAAATTTTAGTATCCACAGACATATTATACAAAAATACACCCTAAATAAAAGTATCACTAAAATACAAAGGTTTCAGATCAAAATATAAATTATCATAGAAAATTATTAGGGGTCACGTAAGACTACCCAGAGTAGCCTGGCCGTCAGAGTTGTTTATAGGGAAACTCCTGGCTCCTTCGTACAAAAGGAGCCGGCGATCCGAAGTGATGGAAAATCCCCTCACAAAAAATGGTGTCTCGTAAGACTAAGCGGTCAGATTGCTTCCAATAATTTGTGCTAGAGATCCCCTGAGGGTTAAATTGTACTTGTGGACTTTTGTACCATGGCAACTCAAAATATATACTGGAATCCTATAGTTTTATTTATAAAATTATTACACTTTTGTCTTTATAGTGTATATTTATTTAAAAAAAAAATGGTTTCTACAATCTTTGCGCGTACATATAAGTTTGATGATGGATCCAGGACTTGCATAGTGGGACTATTCGGTGGTGGATGGAACCACCGAATAGTCTAAAGCCTGAGATGGATAGTGGAACCCTTTTTTACTTTTTAAAACCAATTAAATGGTTTGTTTTTAGTTTGAATACACTATAATTACTGAGCAGAAACCTCTCTAATGTAACAAAGCTTTAGCCACTGACCTTGTTCTTGTGGCAGACCAGGTTGGATTGTTGGTTGAAACCTTTTAAACAAATGTTGCAGCGATAGGGTCGTTCGTTTGTGTGTGTGAACAGATGATTTCGAAGATTGCCTGAATTCAAAATTAATCCTTAGTATTTAAAAAAAAAAACTTAAATCCTTAGGCAGAACTTAAATCCAAGTAAATAGATATGAAAAAAAATCATGTATATGGAATGAACGGGAATCAAACCCGCTATCTGCACGTAGACCATCTGTACCGAATCATTGTCGTTATAGCTGAAGTTATTACTGTTTTGTGGAAATCATAGAGGAATGATCAGTGGTGGTCACTAAGAGAGAACAGTACCTTTCTGATGAAATCCTTTGGGACAGAGATGGCACTTGTAAGGTTTCTCGAAGTTGTGCGTCTTGCGATGTGAGATCAGAGTGGACACGCGGTTGAACGTTTTGTTACACAGCTGCAAAAAAACGGAGTTCGGTTAGGTATATGGTAAGACAGATTAAGAATACGTAGTCGACTAAGGGACAACAGCACTGCAAAGAGTATTCGTAAGTAAATTGTGTTAGAATTAGTTATCCCTTACAATAACAGCTGAGGACTGAACCGAAATGTAAGGTCGCGGGTTCTATGCCCGTTTAAGTCAAATATTTGTGTTCATATTAATCATTTAATTTTTGATTTGGTCTGGGTGTTTCTATGTATAATATGTATATATACCTATACTTTTTTTGTAAATAAATATATATATGTATTTACAAAAAAAGTATAGGTATATTATTATGTATTTCATTTGTTTATATATATTCAGTTGTGTGGTACCCGCAGTACAATCTCTGCTGAGTTTGGGACTAGATGGCGTTGTGTGAATGTGGGAGAATATTATTAATCACGAATAGTACCTAACACAAATTGTTCTTAGATAACATGACATAGTATATAAAAATAATGCCATACCTCACATCCATACGGCCTCTCAGTAGAATGTATAGCACGATGTTGGCTTAACGTAGACAGTTGCCTGAAGCTTTTGCCGCAAGCCATGCAGTGGAAATTCCTTTCATCCGTGTGAGTAGGAAGGTGGCGCATCAAAGTGTATTGATGCTGGAATTCACGGCTACCTGCAATAAACGTAAGGAACATCTCTAATAAATAATCCATCTTATATCAATAGTAAGGGATCAGGCAACAGCTTTTATTAAGACATCCGGACCATTGAAAGCAACTCAACCAATAAGTAACACTGATTTTACCTATTCTATTTATTATATAGGTATAAAATAAACCTTGAAAATGGAAACTGTGTTAGATCACTTTCTAAACTAAGTACGTCAGTCTAGTCACTCTCAAAAACACACTCACTTCTAAGCAGCAAACATGAGATAAAACTGGTTAATAAAATCCCGTATTACTAACATATGCCACACTCCCAGAGCTTAACTACCCGTCCATTTCTCTTCACGTACTTCACGTAGTGGAATCTGGAGCGAGGGTCTGCTTTGTCCACTTTACATGGGGCGGGACCATTACTGCGCTTTTCTGTAAGAAGACAAAGATTAATTGATATCGCGGACTATCTCTTCGTACCCACCCTAATTGGAAACTTTTTCTACCTTCGAAAATAGTATGTTATTCGGGAGGAACCTGTTAATCAGAAAATAAGTTCCTCTTCACACTTCTATCAATAATTCTTGTTTTTGTAAAGGTTTTTGTGCGTCAACATATCAGATGATATGAAAAATTCCACTTAAGTCATCCTATTTGATTAGCATGACCTTTTTATTATTCGTAATCAAACTGAATGATCTTAAAACATGAGTTAATACTACGCACGCTTTATTAGTAGATCTTTTAAAATGTTAAATACTAATTTGTTTGTGCAGTCTAAATTAGAATTCTTTAGCATCAGCAATCCCAAGCTACATACCTATATGTTGACTAAAAATAATATTATATACGGTTTCCCGAGTACCTGTATTTTAATCCTGTTAAGTGATCAGAACTAAATATTGTCTACTACACTGATTGTGATGAGAATGATGTCTTGTTTAAAGAAAAGTAACCTAAGCTATTTTTACCTGTGGACGTGGAAGATACCGCAGCTTGATCAGCAAATATTTTCCTGTTAAAAGTAAGTCCGCTTCTGCTGGTGGATGGAAATACGGAGCTCGAAGTGTCTGCTTCCTGGAACGAATGCACAATTCTCAGATCATTTCTAGGTAGGTCATTATAAGCCGACAAGATTAAAGTAACTAAAGTTCTGAATGGACACGCAGGAAGAAACTACAGCAAATCAATGATTTATGATTATTTACTATTTATATGTATACCATGTGTTCTCTGGTTTTTTTTCCAATCTGTGTGAGTGTTTTCGTAAAACGGGATGCAAATATGATACAGCAAACCTGGGAAACATGTTCAAAAATAGGGATACTTAGGATGTCAGATTTGAAAGTCTACCATGAGTAGAAAAAAACTGCGAGAGTTTTTTTCTATACCCGAGTCAACATCTTTCCTGTCAAAAAATTAAATTTGAACTTATAATACATTACGCAGTAAGTTGCAATTAGCAAATCTTACCCTAAACACTCTTTTAACAAATATGTTATACGCCTACATTTTGAATAGAATAGTATTTCAGCATCATTTTACAAAGCTGTAAAACTTCGTTATGAAAATACTATTTATAATAAACGTAATAAATGTAGACTACCTGACATTACACTATAATCGCCAGTAGCGGAGCAGTGACCACAAAAGTGGCTGAAATTTCAGGACAATGTTATATTCTGTAAACATTTTAATCAGAGATATCGTACCTACTGATGATTCTATCACATAAACATTACATAACTTAATTGGTAGCAAAAAGAACTATAGAATACCTTCATTTCACTTTTGAGTGCAGCGTCTAATTCATTGCCAAATGTAGTCTGTCCTGTAGTTCCAAACCCTGGATCAGAGACGAGAGACACAATGCTGCCATCTTCTTCAGTCCACGCGAAGCGAGAATGTTGCTGTTCCAAGTTATCGATGTAAAACCCATCGCGAAATAGGGAACGGGAAACATCGAGCTGAAAGTTTAGTTTAAGATTATTCACATCCTTTTTGAAATAGTTCAATTAGTACCTTCTAGCCTACGTTTTAAAATTGTCATAATCAAAGTAGATGTTATGTTTCCGTCTCAAGCAAGATCTTATAGCGATTTGAGACTTGTACAAAACTTGTTTTCTTCTTTTTGGCAAAGCAATATGTGTGCAGAATACGGCACCAACAAAGTATTCTGTCACGGAACCACAACCATAAGATCAAAAGCATTTATCTTTGTGACGCCTCGCCGCGATGTGAATGAGAGTGAATGAGAATTTCCCCCCCCCCCCCCTCTTCATTCAAAAAAGGTGAAATCCTCGATGTTAGAAATCTGCATAGTGTACCGTAACCAATTCCAGGAGATGTGCTTATTTGCCACTTTAAATGTAACATCTAAGGTATGTTGTAATTCAAGTTAATCTTTATAATTTGTAATCTGTTACCCAATAAACCTTTAATGAAAGATCGGATAACATTTGATACTTTACTTAAAATTAAAAATTATACGGACACAAGAATTAGAGCTTTATGGCAGAAGAGTTGCGAGAGACGGAGAGGTTGGAGTTAGGACATTGTTTATGAATTAGAAGAGAACGTCAATAAATATGAAGGGATCAGACTCCGAAAGTAAAATGTTACAAAAGTTTTGGTGTACCAATTTTTTTTTCACTTTAAAAGTAATTTAATTCTATATTAGAAACATACAAGGTTTCGAGTTAGAAAACTGACAAGCAGAAAACTTATGGAAATTAGTTATTGGACGTACAAGTATATTTCAAACTATACACTCCATCAAAGAAACAATTTTTTCGTCACAAAGTAATGATTTCAAAGATTCGTACGAGTATGATTCACTGTCACAGATTAAAATAGCTTTTTGCTACGTACTTCATTTCGACTCGAGTTCGATAGCAACGGCTCGCCATTAAATCCTGAATCCTTTTTGTCATATTTGTCACTCAAACACACTTCCCGAATGCTGCAAGAAAAACAATAGGCTTAAAACAAAAATAAAACAAATCAACATGGTCGCGTTTCATCTTTCCACTTGAAATAAACGAAGATCGAACCTTATTATCTCATCGCCCGGCTTCATAAATATTGACTCAGGTATTTCTTTTATTTCCTCGTCAGCAAACATCATTTTTTTGCAATATTCAACTATTTTTAGACAAAAAAACACATCGCGCAAACGTCAAACAGTCTGTTTTTTCACAATGTGATTTATTCAATTTTTGTTTCTATGACGATGTGCGTTCTTAGTTTGAAAATATTTTTTAAATAATTTATTTGTAAGTTGCGAGTGACAATATGGAATTCCATGTAGGAATTTTATAATTGACCTCTTATGAACTTTTGAGGTCAACGTTTTGTTTATTAGAACTATATTTGATTGCATTTTTAACTTAAAATTTAATTAATAATTGTACATTTTAGATTTCTTTAATAGTAATTTTTATTAAATTATTTGAACATTTTGCAATGATACCTCTGCTTAATATTTTTTATTATGTTCTGTATAAAAGTACGAGTGAATAAAATTATTCAGCGTATTCTCTGGAGAGGTTTGTTACAACGTCTAAGTGGTGTGCTCATTTCGTTACTGAGGCCACTCGAATGCTTGAAGAACACTCACAAACCTACTTAATGTTCGTGAAAAGAAAAAAAATCTTTTGAATAAAGAATAATTCTGAAAGGTGAATCAGGAGAGATATATTTAACATTGATTCTGTAATTATTCGCGCCAATTATTTGATAGAAGTTTAAGTGTCGAACATTTGTGTCATTGTATTTCTTATTTACTTATATTTTTTGACTTTGATGTTTTATTGGAGATAAGTAAGAATAATTCATTGATTTTAGCTAGTACACAAGTAAATGTATTCCTTTAGCACGCTGTATATCTATGGATTTTGGCTTTTGAGGTGTCGTTAGATTCGTCTTAATTGTGAAAGTGATACATGTAAATATTGTAAAAATTAAAGTCGCCATTTTGTAAATTTTAAGTACATACATATTTTCACGCTGTTGGGTTTTTGTTTTTTTTTTTTCAATAATTAGCTTATATATATAAACTGTAATTTTTAATTGTGATAAACTTTGAAGGCAAGATCCCAGATGTTATTGTTACTTTTTAGCCATTGATACTTTTATTATTTAGGAGTGTCTTTTTAGATAATTTTCGGAGACAATATGTTATTTTTTTAAAACAAGCTTATTTTCAGTCAGTCCAAATCAATGTATAACGTTATTTTATTTTGATGTTATACTGCATATGTATTAAAAATATGTATTAAACTGCATATGTATTAAAAAATTAAGTTAATTGTACATCCGTTTACTATCAAATGAAATATAAAGAACACATTACTTTCTCGTACATTCAATCGTATTTATGGCCTCACATTATTCTAGGAAATTAAAAGTGTTTTGAGGACATCTGTGCATCAGAACCATTCTTAAAAAGGAAGATGAAGCAAATTCGTTGGGCACAACGGCCGGACAGTCTCGGAATAGATTTCGTATTTTTTTATTAGGTACGTACATATTATATTACCTATTGATTAAAAGTAATATATATTAAGAGTTGTATGTATGTGTATATGTATGTTTATATCTAATTAGATCTAAGGTGTTCACAGTTGGATAGTTATGAAATCTCGAGATGGAATGTCTTTGATTAGACGCCGTGTGATTTGATTGAAATTCCTTACGTGACTCATACGTCGTGCTGTCTGTTCGAGGATTTACTCGTATATACCATATATCTATCTATTAAAACTAGAGATCGCCTCCGGGTCGAATTTCGATAACTTGAACTTTCATCATTAAATATGCTTTTCCGTGTAGTAACGGATTAAGAAGGAAAACTTAACACAGGTCCTATACCAGCCCGTGTAGCCAGCGTGGTATAGTAGGCCAAAACCTCCTTTCTAAGGAGAGGCCTTTGTCCGGCTGTGGACTAATAAAAGCTGATGATGATAATGGTGGGCCCTAATAGCTTTATCTAAGCGTTTTCATATAACATTTAACTTTGTAGAATATAATTGTTCAAAATATTTTTTTTTTCCTAGAACTACATCCATACTAATATTATTAATGCGAAAGTGTGTCTGTCTGTCTGTTACCTCTTCACGTTTGAACCGCTCAACCGATTTACATGAAATTTGGTATGGAGATAGTTTGATTCTTTAGGAAGTATATAGGCTTTTTACCGCGAGAACCGACATACACGTAGGCGCAGCCACGGGAAGAAGCTAGTATAAATATATATTTATTAATATCTACATACTCGTACCTATCGTGGACGAGACAAGCTTAGGACATATACCTCCGGTCCGGATTCGACCAAAGTATACCACATCCTCACAGAACACGGTGTTAAACAGTTCCTTCGTTGCGTATAAACGAATGAATGGATTTACCGTAGCGCAAACGGCCCCTGATCCTGGGGACTGAAAGGGCGGCAAAGCACTAATGACTCTTGATCCACGGGCGACGGTTGTGACTTACCATCAGGTGACCCGACTGCTTGTTTGCCACCCTATTCCATAAAAGAATTTAAGATAAGCTACTACTTTGGATGATTTAACTGACAGAAGAAACACAGAACAGAATTTATTGTCATTATCACCTGACAGAAAGCTACTACCGCCGCCCATGATCGTCTGCAACTCAGGAGTCACAAACGTGTTGCCGGCCTTTTAGGAAGGAGTACGCTCTTTTCTTGTAGGTTTGAATTTGTTTTTGTTTCTGAATACGATTACATATATTACATAATCCATACTAATATAATAAATGTGTAAGTGTGTCTGTCTGTTTGTTTGTTACCTCTTAACACTTAAACCGCTGCACCGATTTAGATGAATCAATATATTATTGTTATGTTCCAATCATGAAAAATGCGAACCATTGTACATATTTGTAAGTTTTTTAAGTTATTTATTTCAAACGCTGGAGAGAGAGGGCATTATAATTAAGATTCTGCCTCGGCTCGAAAAAATCGTATATTCGAGGCTGTTCTTGAGGATAGTCTCCTATTTACCGCTGTAACCGATAAACATGCGGGCTTAGCCGGGGGCAAGAGCTAGTTTAATATGAACAGCATAAATGGGCCGGATCGACTGGAGTGATGGCACAGCCTCCTGCAAACCAGTGTAAAATAATTCTTTTGTTGGTTTGCACCGAGTAAGCGAGGTAACCGGAGCCTAGTAAACCCCCCCCCCCCCTCACCCCGCACACGGTGTAACCCCTAGTATCAGGGGGGGGGGACATTGGCGGCGGTAGGCATACCATGTCCGTGACCCATCTGCTCGTTGGCCTCCTCATACCATATAAAAGAAATCAGTGTTTAAAATCTGTAATACTTATTATAATTGTCTAGTGCCTAGGTGCTATTTTGTTCAGTGGCTATGTTGCCATTTCCTCCATACCGCTGCACCGTTAAATTCTGTTTACCAGAAAAAAACTAAGTAGTTACAACAAACTTATGTTATCAATGACATTATAAGTAAAAAGAGGCTTGTAATATCATTGTATGTTATCATAATATATCAATGAAATAAAACAAATACTGAAAACTTTTTAAAGTAATGTTTTACATTCGTTATAAATTAGTAACACTAATAGTTTTAGAGACCTCTATGAATTTTTGAGCTAACTATTCGAAATGTTGCAGCTTGGAAGTACTTAAAGTACATTTTGAAAGTTAGTACACAGCGCATCTGTTAGGTGGCGCTGTCTTTCAACTTATTCGTGTTTGCCGCGACATCTAGTCTACACTTTAGAAACTATAATGAAATGAAAAGCAAGCGGTAGAATTACTAATTGTTTCTAATAATATTTGTAAGATGGCATTAAAGCGAGTATTTTTGTTAACTGAATTTTCCCGCGGGATATTATTCTATTTTACGATTGCTTACATTTATGTTCAAAGGGAAACATGAAGAATTTGTTTCTTTATATCATTAGTTACAGTGTATCTGTGTATATAGTTTTTAAGGCGTTAAAGTACGAGCATAATTAGTGTCAGTTTGATTTTTACCTAAAACAATTGAGTGCTTTTCATATGAAATCCGTTAGTATTTCATTTTTAGCAGGGGGGAGCCCTTGATGCTAAATGGGGATTTACTTGAGCGTCATGGGGACCTATTCCATTTGAAAGATTAGGTAATAGAATGAATAAAAGTAAAGTTTCTAAGGATGTTATTTATCTATGTTATATTTTTTTACCATTTTGAAGTGACACAAGCTGGTAGCGAATTATCGAAAATGCAAACTGTAAATTCGATAAATCGCCATTTCGATGTACCTGAGCGTTTTAGATGTGTTTTTTTTTTAACTTTGTGACCCTCCCACTGCTTCATGTTACGCTAAAGTCGTCAGATTTTTTTTAATACACACTAATGTGCATGTAATTGACTCAACTTACCTGAATCTTACATGCTCGAGTATTTTTGGAAAGCGATATTTTTTTACTAATCTGATGGGCTGCCCTAGATGATCCCCCCTATATGTAAGGCTCATGTATGGTGGAGGTACTCAACTGGGTGTAAAGTATTCCTTATATGTTAATCTGACACGCTCGAATAAATCCCGAAATCCCTTCTATGGCTCCCTTATTGTTAGTACAGACTATGCGGCCCAAAATAACTTCATATTTAAAAAAATAAACTGTTTTTTTTTCAATAAATCGGTTTTTGGCACCTATTCGATTTTTTTTTCAAAAACTTGTCATGAATCGATTTTTCCAGTTTTTTTTAAAACTAAAAATGTTACCCGAATTATCACGTTGGAAAACAAAAAAGTTTATTTTTTTCGATCTGAACATACCTACTCAGCCTGTACAAATGATGGAGACAAGATTTACATTTATAATATAGTAATTAACTACTTTTATAAATTTAATCCAAGTGTAGGTATAGCAGAAGTATTTGTTTGTTTGTTACGCTTTCACGCCTATACCACTAAACCAATTTAAAAAAATCGTTCACAGTTTGAAAACTATCTTACGAGCGAGTAGCATAGGCTATTTTTTACCGCGATAACTGACATACACGCGAGCGGAACCGCGGGCAAAAGCTAATACGTGGTAAAAACAGCCAATCTGTGGAACAAATACTGTGGTTCATCTTCGGCGAATCC